TAATAGTAATAGTAATAGTACATGATTATAGTACACTCACAGTATTGCCAATTGTATCTGTTCGTTCTCACCACGCTATTTAACAATATTTCGAGTATATAGCAAACGAGAATATGCCTCTCACTGATATAAAATACACACGCGAGGATATGCGTAGTTCCGGTGCAAATGGATTTGCCGAATGATTATATAGAAATCCATTTAGTTTCCAAAACGTGATACGTTTTGCGCAGAAACTATGAGAACCTCCCCCCTTCTTTGGTGTATTTTCATTTCAAGACTAACTAACGACGAGTAAACCTTGTATATTGATCAAATCAATGAAAATCCGGTGAATATATTGAAATGAGTATTTATCGAATAAGAACAGAAAGAAGATAATTGGATTTTTTTCTTTTTAAATAAGAAATGCCAATGTTTCTTTCGAATGACGAAACTTTAAAAAAAAAATATATATATATATATATATGTTGTCGCGGAATGAAGAGTATCGTGACTTGAAACTCTTTCAAAAGCAGTTAGGAATCGGAAATATCTTGATGATAAATTATACCAATATTTTCCATAACTGATCTCGTGATTAGATTCGTTCATTTATACAATGATATTCGTCCGATGTCAAACATTTCAATTCTTAAAGTTTAAACACATAAAAATATGAAAAAGTTGTCAATTAGTATGCGTTCATTCTCCAATTAAATTTCATAATAAGCATCTTTCAAATATTATAAATTCTCGTTGTTTGTTGAACCGAGTGTAAATACTGAAACATAAAAGTTTCGAGGGTCAATAATAAAGTTAAATGTCGACTTAATAAAGTATCGACTTTTATTGTATCAATCGAAGCCTATTACTACAAATTTCCCGCGACTTCCTGATTCGTTCTGATTCGATAGGATTAAGCATTCAGGCACTTTTAAATTATTGCAAACACAATTCAATCGTATATTACAATTCAGATGAATCTTTTTAATTTAATTTAATCTTAACATATCCAATGAATAGATGAAATTGATTAAAAAAAAAAAAAAAATAGTGAAATATTATAATAATTAAGCTGGAAACTTCGCAGAGCAACTTTAAATGTATGTTTGTTCACTTTTGAACACAAGACACATTGAAACATGCGACGAAGTTTATACAGATTTTAGGTAAACCAAATATATGAAACACGAAAATGAAGAAAATTACGAAAACGTTCGTTAATTGCAATTGTCGAAAATAATCGAACTTTTAATGTACACTGAAGTTTGCATCAAAGCATCCGACAATTGTTCCGACCTTACTGGCTGAAATTAAAATCCCTAATTTAGCATTCTCATTATAATTCTCTGATCTAGCAACGACCTCGTGTCGAGTTAATGATCTATCCCGTTTTCTATCTTCTTGGCAACTCCTCGATTTCACATCGAGTTCGTCTGCCACCATCTTTCGTAACAATTTTGCATTGGATGTGCTCGCGAAATCTTAATCTGCCGCGATTGTCTGAGATTCATCTGCACGTGACTTCATGGTTGGAAGCTCTTTGATTTCGTACCAGGTTCATCCTCGTTACAATAATCTTAACGGCTTCCTGACTTCGCGTACATCCTCCGAAAATCCGTATTCTCTGGCTGACATCACGCGCTGCACGCTCGGGAAAAATTTCATTAAAATTTCATTTGGAAATGAAATTAAAAATCAGGATTTGCACGAAGCCATTAAAATTCAGAATGGCTCGCAAGTAGCGCCAGCAATTCCATTTCGTTACGTTTGAAATTGTAGGATCTGGCAGGGTGAGTTTGAAATGATGTAAATCCTGTCAAATGAAATTGGTCGCGTTTTAAATAAAAAATTATTTGTATAATAAAATCGTACAACAC